TGCAGCTATGAACTTGCATGTTTCCTTTATTCTTCTCCTGATTTAGTGCAACATTTTACAACTGTACACATCATTCCTTAAATCAAGCTTGACACTTAATGGCTTAATGTGCATTTTTTTTTTGGTCTTCTGATACAGTAACATTAGCCTGTTATTTGCAACATATCTGTACAATGATTTTTCAAAGTTTATATATACACGTCAGTTTTGTCCCATACATGAACTCAATGCAGCTGAAACAGTGTAGAAATGAGCTCACAAGTTCACAATGCACAGATGAGTTTACACAATCACAGCTTCACATTATTCAAAAGAAATCTCGACATTGAGGAACCCATCATTGTAAATGCAATTCATTTTTGTAAATAGTGCGGTCATAGGCCCATTCATTGTTCTCAAAAATGCATGGAATTGACAAATAAGTGCAGAAGTAAAGTAAATTTTAAGTGTAGGAATAGTAATTATAGCTTGAATTGTTATTCTTGAAGGTAAGTGCACTGGGTAATCCATACAGCCAAAAACAGGTGGCAGGTTCAATCCCTATCTGATGGTGAGTTAGCTGTTTTCAGTTAGAGTGAATGAGTCTGAAAATTGGTAATAGAAAACCCAACTTAGGAATGAGAAAAGCAAAACACAGCTTCATATTCAGGGTCTCCTGGAAACTGTGCCTGTGTGCAAATCACGTATAAAGAATTTTGATAGAGTGAAGAAACAATGGTTCCAGTGGTTGGAGGTTCAGTAACCAGAGGATGCACATTTAAGATAATTATCTAAAGAGGCAGATGGGAAATGAAATTTCTTTTAACGCAGTGAGTTAGGATGTTCTGTAATCCAGTTGCTACAAAGGCAGTGGAAGCAAATTTATAAAGAGAATTTGGTAAATACTTGAACAGGGAAAAAAGAATGGCAGTGTTCCTTGAAAATAACAGAATAATGGCTTTAATTGGATAACTATTTTCAAGGGATGGCATAGCTAGGATAGGTTGAATGTTTCTTTTTCCCTGTATAATTTAATGGTTCTGTGAAGAGCCAATACTTAAAGATGGTACAGAATTTCCAGTGCTGCTCACTATCCAGGGAGTCATGCTAGAAACTGTGCATGCACGGATACCTGTTAAGAACAGCATCAGGTTACTTGTGATGCCTTCCAATACCATATAGTCTGTTGATACCCACTACTCAAGAGGGACTAATTAAAAGGTGTGTTGTGGTGTTGTTGACATGCATAACAATGCAATATCTCAAGGGAATCTATACCTTGAGGATAGAAGGGAGGGAGTAAAGCAAAATATTGAGAAAATAAGTATTTATATGCTATATTGGAATCAGGATTTTAAATACTGAATGACTGACTCTACTTGTTATTCCTCTTGCTTTGGATAGAAATTTGAGAAATCAAGTTCAAATAAATGTATTTAAGTCAGAAAATATATCTATAAATAAAGCTAAGCTAAATCAAGAGTAAAAAGTGATTATTTATATTTTATAGCATGGTGACAGGATGGTAATCGAAGTGGTTGCTCAGCATATGCACTAATACACTAACCTTGCAGATACCACCTCGTAACAACCACTGTATTTCATTTTGTTGTGACCTCTGCAGTCCATTTTAAGCTTCAAACATCTTGAAGCATGCAACAAACAACTAATCTGGTCAGAAGTGCTTGAGGAACACTATCTAAGGGGTTCACTTGCATTTTCTCCCGTAGTCTTGAATTGTCAACCAGCAGCCCCGAATTATTACCATTTACGTGGCAGTGAGAAACTTCAAACAGTGAGTCAGCCGTGTTGCAGAATGAACTATCTAAATAAGTACAAGCTGAAGCATACATAATCTCTCTGATTCACAAATAGTAATTTAGTTATTTCTGAGTATGTTTAAAGTATATAGCCTAAACTATGGTAGCGATCTGATATCATTATCATTTTTCAACTATATACAAGTAATTCAAAATGTTGATTGTTTGTTAATCTAAAAGCTATTTGTTGACTGATAAGTCCAAATATCTTTTGTTGGCTGTGATCATCAATATTTCATATGTCAACTTGACTCATGAGAGGGGAATCCTTCCAAGGGGTCAGAAATTGTGGATTCAACGCTACACCAGAATTAAAACTTATTCTTTAATTGGGCCATTGCAGGAGTGCTGTTTTGTTGGATGTGCTGTCCTGATGGATGTTAAACTGAGGTCCTGACTGTCTCCAAATAAAAAAGCCATTTAGGGATCCATTTCATGTGATTTATCTGACTTGTTGCTATGGAACAATTGTTAAGGAAATAGCATGCGTTGATAGAGTGCCCTTCACAGCCTCAGGTTATCACAAAGAATTTTACAGCCAATAACGTACTTTTTGAAGTGAAGTCACTGTTGCAGACCAGACAGTGACTTTTGTAACGTTGATTTGAAGGATACAATAGGATCTATACATCACATTAAATCTCTGTGCTTCTCCAAAATGGTACAGCTGGATCCTTTAGGCCATATATTTTATGGGAGATCAGGGTTATTTTTTATTCAGGGGTTTGGAACCCAATATGGAGGCTAGTTTTAGGTTCCAATCCCACATGGCATGCTTTAGATGCAGCAACTGTGATTTTTCATGTTTCAGTTAATGAAAAGCCAAGAAGTGTCTCTGCCATCCTATTAAGGAAGAAAGGAGGACTTCTAAATCAACATTAAGTAATTGATAGTCCCATCAATCAGAGTGAAAGTTTCTAAAGTGAAAATGCAACAGCAAAGGACAATGACAATTACTATTTTTTTAAAAATGCCATAGCTCTCTGAATGTAGTCTTGGAGAGACAACCTTTTCAGGAGAGGGCCAGTCATTTACAGCAATGGCTTGATAGTTATCATGGATCAGGATTAGATGGTGGTCTACTTACTTCAGCTGTCACGCCACCCCTTCACATCCTGAGCCCACCATGATGATCTAGACCATATCAACTTCAAAGTGAACTGCCTGCTTTGCTGATTGAGAATCCTGTCTCAATTCATTGGGAAGCCAATCTGACCTCAAGCCAGTCTTTCAAAATGGCTTATATTTGGGATCATGGGGATAAATAAAACAGAAGCCAATGGCACCAAATTGCATGTCCATCTGCCTCCACTTCAGACCAAATTTGAAAAATCCAGTTCCAGATTTCAGTCAGGGAGTCCTTTTTAAAGGAGAGACACTTAATGCATTGTTGCTCACTAAATTTAAGGCAGGACAATTTTTTCCTGAATGCACTGGGCAGACATAGACTCCCACTGAAAGCTGTTGTCCACACCCTCTTCCTTCCTCTTTTAGCTGTTTGTCCTGTCTAAAATGACCTTTGTCTATTTTTCCAAGTTGCACTGCCTTCTATGCACCCTTTTTTTTTTTTATTAATTCACAGGATGAGGGTATCACTGGCTGGGCCCAGCATTTATTGCCCATCCTTTATTTCCCAGAGGGCAGTTCAGAGTAAACCACATTGCTGTGGGTCTGGAGTCACATATAGGCCAGACCAGGTAAGGATGGCAGTTTCCTTCCCTAAAGGGCATTCGTGATCCAGATGGGTTTTTCCAACAATCAACAATGGATTCATGGTCATCATTAGATTCTTAATTCCAGATATTTTATTGAATTCAAATTCCACCATCTGCTGTGGTGGGATTCAAATCCAGGTCCCCAATGCATTATCTGGGTTTCTGGATTAACGGTTCAGTGATAATACCACTTGGCCATCGCCTCTATCTTAGAGTAATAGGTTTGAACACACCAAACAATTCCTTCTGCACCCACCTACAGGCTTTTACAACTTCAAATGAGTGTGGAAAGCATGCAGGATCATAGTTACAGCTAGAACAAATAATCAACATTTAACATGCAAATAATAACAATAAAGTGGCGTGGAGGTGGAGGGGATTCCATCTTGCTATTTCTGTATAGCTGTGCATGATTGAGAGAGGAAGACAAGGGGAAAACTGCATCACAACATGATACTGATGGTGTCAAATCAGTACTGGACACTGTTTGACATCAAGGACTGCCTGCTCTGCATACTTCAAGAGGGTGTTCACTTCTCATTCCCAGGCCTGTACCATTATGGCATTCTGTGCACCTCACCTTCCAAATGTGTGAACACAACAGAAATACCATTTCAGAGCTGTAAGGACACTCACCATGCCCAAAACATTGAGCCCAATTTATCCCTCAGGGCTTCACTTAAAAATTCCTTCTGAAATAATGCACCTCCAAGAGTGTAGCACCCCACCCCATCTACCATTACATTCACTTGGATTTTCTGCTCAGGTCCCTGAAGCAGGATTTGACCTCGTGACCTTTGACTTGCAGGTGACAACAGTATCCATTGATAAAACTGCAATTGACCATATAGTAATGACAATGTCTTAAAAGTAATTTATTGTGCAAAATAATTCATTCAATAAGGTGCTACATACATGCAAGTCTTTCAAGAGTAACCATAAGATTTCAAAAGAAATTTCAATTTTACCAAGTATCTCAGATAAAAGAAATTAAACATTGAGCTGTCTAATCACAAAATAATTACAACAATCACTTTCAGAGGGTTTTGCTGTAGATTTTCCTGTGCAATGAAGAAAGGATTAAATAAGAAGAAATATTTCAGCATGATGTGATAAGTTTTTTTTTAATACTATACACTTTGCTTATACTTTCTTTAACTGTGGACCCAATGGCCACACGCTGGGGAACATGACATTGCTTATCGGTATGAAAAACACTTGAAGTGTGCTCAGTCTTTTGTCTTCCAAAATTGCAGTTTCAATATATCTATACACAATTATTACAGAGAGACTTACTGAAAGATGATGAGCATGTGCTTTGAGAATTTTTGGTTACAGAAGCCTCATTTGGAATGTATATTGGACAATTCTTTATACAAATACATTTTCCATAATGATAGGAGGCCATTCCATATCCAAATTCCATACATTTTAATTTTTTTATGGTGGAACAAATCCGTTATATTCAAATACTGATTTGGCAGTTTAGTCATTTAAGTGCTTAGAGTGATTTGCAGATAGGCTGTGCGAAGTAGCAATTCTAAAGTCTTAATTAAAATGTGTCAATGCTGCTAAGATTTTTTATTTAGAAAAGGATTTGTCTTCAATTTCTTCTCTGTTTGGTTTTGTGCTGATTGGGATTTTTACTGATCACTGAATGTTTTGCATTCTTTCCAATGTCCACTAGATTGCTTCAGTTGTCATATACTGACTGTTCACAGATGACGTCTTCAAAGGAAGTGGATGCGCAATTGACATTGGTGTACAGGCTCAGTTGATTGCTAGTGAGAATCAGTGATGAAACAGCATATTATAGATACCAGTTCAGAGCAGTAGAAGGGAAAGCTTCACACAATGAATGCAGCTTCACATTTTGACAACGACAACGCAGGCCCCAGCTCTCCCAATGTTTAGGGATGCTGCCTGTTGGAGCAGAAACAGTCGTCAGTTTTTAAAGAAGTCATTCATAAAATTCTGAGAAAGCTGGAAAGGTAGTTTATACACAAAGTGCCGCAAGTCTTTCCTTCGTTATTTATGAGCTGTTTGTTGCACTGCACCTTTCTGTTAAAATCACTGATGGGTCCGCACACGATTATAAATATTCACTTAATTTATACCCCAAATCCATGTACCCCAATCAAATGTTGCCTAACTAAGCAATAGTTCTGAAAATGCAATTTATTAACAGCATTTGGGGACTGCTAATTTCAAAATCAAAACTTGTAGTCCTGAAGTTAATATTGACGTCAACAGATATTTCACTTTCTATTCACTATTTTACTACAATTAATATACCAAATATGCAATGAAAGAAAATAATGGCCCAGATGTTTTGAAGGCTAGTGAATCATTGCAGCAGTGTAGTCTGGAACAATGCCTTAGGACCCTGCAGAATCCCTGATGCAAACAACTGGATGGGAAATGCCTGAGACCTTAAACTTAGCTGTTAGCCAGGAAAGGTTAGATAATTAAAAATATGCTCTTACTCCTGTGCAACTATTAAACTAACTCCACAAGCCATCACTGACAATCTCATCTACACCTTCTTTGACCCCTTACCTCTACTAAATCCTAGAACAGAACATCCACTACCCCCTCCCAACCCATCTCTCCCAGACCTGATCCTCCCCATGCCCCCAGGGCATGACATTTCCCCCTACCCTGCCAGCGTGACCACTCCAGAACTAACACCTTCTCACACCTGAAGGGCCCGAAGCACATCATCCTTGACTGGGCCTGGGTCTGACATTTCCCCACCACTTCCTCTTCAATCAGACATGATAATACCCATGACCCACGAAGACACTCTCACACCCAATCCACTGGCCCGACAACTCCTGGACCCATTCCCCTCCCCTTCCCCCTGACATCAGACACTATACCCCACCCCAGATCCAACAGCCCCTGCCATCTCTCAGACACAAGAGAAAGTCCCTATCCCCAAATGCAGAACTCAACATCTCCATGACCCAAACCTCCCCTGGGCACCCATTCGCCTATCTGGCATGCCAGCATACTACCCAACTGGCACCCCACCAACTAGACCCATTGGCACTCCATTCATTCGGCTCCCTGTCGACCTAGCATGCTACTGACCTCACCAAACTGGGGTCTTACCCACCTGTTCCTGCCCATCTTACCTACTTAGCACCCCACCCAGCTGGCAACCTCCCCTATTTGGCAATCCACTCATGCAACTCACTATCCACCTCACTCATCTGGCACCCTACCTGACTCTCTATTGATCTTGCCCACCTGGTAAAGTACATTCCCATCATCCACTTGGCACCCTAACCCTACAAGTAACAGTCATCCTGACTCCACACTCATCTTACCGACTCAACACTTCATAGGAGCCGATAAACTGATTGGCTATGCTGCTGGGATATTTAAAATAAAGAAAAACACAGCATACTTAGCGCTCCAAAAGAGGGTGTGGTTGCTACAAAAAATAACTCTTCACTGTCAGATTAGTGGATTCCTGAACAGGTTAAATACAGGATGATCCCTATCTGAGAATCTTCATGCAGGAGGCATTTAAAGATAAGTGGATAATTTTTAAATCAGATTAGGGTCAGAAAAAAGGGTTTCTGATCTTGATAGGAATATCTGGGCCATTATCTTCTGAGATCTATGATCTTCAAATTAGTTTCTTCAAATATCAGTACACAATGATTGACAAGATTTCATGAATTTCTTGAGTCTGTCTCTGATTAGTTGCATTAGCTCATTTACATGAAATTTTTAATGATACAAGTAAAATGATGGCCAAAATGATTACTGTGCAGCTGAAGAGAAATTACATTCAATTCAAACACCAACATTTTGTAAACATGTATTAGGTCATTACTGACTAAAGTATTGATATAACATTGCCAGTTGAGTACAACTGAAGCCAGTGAAAGTTTTGTTCCAAAAACTAATCTATTCGAGTTTTCCTTCCCTAGAGCTTTAATATTAGGTGAAGCTATGATGTCTGAAATAATTAGCAGAAAACTGCATTTATTGTATTTGCATGTTCCTTTTTAAATTGATGTTAACTCCATGCTTCTTTAGCCATGTAAATAAACCACATTTCAAATTTTGATATCAGAACGATCTGAGCAGATTTTTTAAAAATGACTGATAGTTCCTCAGCATAATTCAAATTTCTCCTTCACTAATCTGCTATGACGTTGTGTAGAGGGTGTGTTTCCTTTAAGAGATAAAGTGATTTTTTAAACTTAGAGATTTATACAAAAAAAAGTATCTGCATGCAACTGAAGACGTACAGCCAGTTCTAAGATTGAAACATGTATCAGTTGTGATTGGAAACCTTAGGATTGTTTTGATGTTTTTGGCAACTAGCTGGAATCAGCCAATTAATTCAAACCAAGCACTTAGTGATTGAAAGCCAATTGAATTTAAATCTGATAGTCTTGACAACCTCGGACCAACGTTATTGCAGGAAAATTGATATGTCATCCAAGGTATATAAGGAGATGGTCTTTGAAAATCAGTGTGAGAGTGAACCGCCATCGAAGAAACGAGCACCCCAGCTCTCACGAGAAATCGCTAAGCTCTCTAATTAACCATCTTATCCATAAAAAGTGGATGGCACTTCGAACTAAGAGTCTTCACAGAGAAAGTATCCTTGACAGCAGGATCACCAGAAGAAAGGTGTTTATGACTGGAGAGACAGTGGAGAAGGCAAAGCATTCCAGAAGACATATTCTGTGTGGACTTTGCGAGACTGAGTTTTAGTTTATTTTTTTCTTACTACTCGGGTTATATATGTGGGACCTGTGTTTATTGGAATCACATACTAGTAGAATTTTGTTCAGTTAGGGAATAGTTTGAGTTGGGGGGTATTGCTCAGTTTGTTAGCAGTTCTGTTAATTTGTTCACTGTTAGGGTTAAATAAATAAATTGTTACTTGTCACTTATAAAGTGAATATCAGGGATTTTCTTTCATTTAACCTCCCCTTCTTCGTAACAAATCGCAATGTCCCAGTGTCACACACTTTCTGCACTGCCCGGGGTAATCAGACTATAAGGGTTAAAGAGGGAGTTCTATGTTCACAGTAAAATTAAAAGAGTAGTGTGTGCATTTTGTTCTTGCAATTCCTGAAAGTTCAGAAGCTTTGCAAGGATTGATAGAAATGGAAACCCTTACATGCAGTAACTATTGTTGGTGACCCATTTCAATTGTTAGGAAACAACAGACTTCGAGCGCTGATGGTTGTTCTGTAGTCTGTGCAGATAGTGAGGCCATATCTTGATCGTATCCAGACCAATTGCCGGTAGTGGAGAAATAACCTCTCTAGCTGTTTTTCTGTGGCTGTAGTTGATTCTAGTGAAAGCTGCTCCTTATTCTTGGTCAGTTTGCTCAAAATTTCATGCTCTGATAGTAAGTTAGATAGGAACTTTGATAAACAGCTCATAAATTCAACAAATTATTGCACTGCTTTCATATCTGTTGATTGTTTCATCTCTGCTGCAATTCGCATCTTGTCAGGATCTGGATAAAGTTTTTTCAGTATCAGTACATTACCTATGTACTTGAGTTCATGTATCTTCAACTGCATCTCTTTCTTACAAATTTGTTTTTCAAATTCCGCTGACTATTGGCGGGGGGGGAGGGGGGGGGGGGGGGGGGGGGGTCGAGAGTACAATCCCAATAAGTTGTTCATCCCTTTCTTATTTCTCAGTTCCACCCAAATATCTTCCCTGGGCACAATCCCAGGAATATCCTCTCTAAATACAACCAAAATGTTATATACCTAATCAAAAAGCCCACTCCCCCTCCTCTCTTGCTCCCCTTTCAAACCTTCCGATAGCATCTGTGTCCTGGAGAATTATGCCATTCTGTCCATCCCTGAGCCACCTCTGTAATTGCTATGATATCCCAGTCCCATGTTCCTAACCACGCCCTGAGTTCATCTGCCTTACCTGTTAGGCCTCGTACATAGAAATAAAGGTGATAGCCTAGTGGTATTATCACTGGACTGTTAATCCAGAGACCCAGATAATGTTCTGGGGACCCAGGTTTGAATCCTGCTGAAAAATATCTGGAATTAAAAATCTAATGATGACCGTGAAGCCATTGTCGATTGTCGGAAAAATCCATCTGGTTCACTAATGTCCTTTAAGGAAACTGCCATCCCGACCTGGTCTGACCTACATGTGACTTCAGATCCACAGCAACGTAGTTGACTCTGAACTGCCCTCTGGGCAATTAAGGATGGGCAATTAATGCTGCCTGGCCAGCGACGTCCTCATCCCGTTAATGAATAAAGAAAGTTTATTTCAATGCAAGAAGCCTGTACTCGTTCTCTACTTTGTTCCTGACTGTTTGACTTACTCCTTTTCACAACTGTGTACTAGTCTCAAGCTGATCTCTTTCCTCACTATCTCCCTGAGTCACCTCCCCCCTCCCCCATTTAAGAGTATAAATCCTAGAACTTGCAAAAGTTGATTGAGGACGGATGGTCACAGGTAAAGAGACAGCTGGAAAATAGGAAGCCTTCAAAAATGAGAAATTGAGAGTCCAGAGACAGTATGTTTCTCTTAGGGTGAAGGGCAAGGATAGTAGATGTAGGGAGTGCTGGATGACTAGAGAAATTGAGGTTTCAGTCAAGAGTAAGAAGAAAGCATATACCAGGTATAGACAGCAAAAAACAAGAGATTCCCCAGAAGAGTATAAAGGCAATAGGAGTATACTTAAGATGGAAATCAACAGGGCAAAGAGGAGACATGAGATAGCTTTGGCAAATAGGGCTTTGGAGAGTCCAAAGGGATTCTATAAATACAGTAAGGACGAAATGGTAACTAGGGAGAGAATAGCGCCCCTTAAAGATCAGCAAGACTGCCTATATATGGAACTGCAGGAGATGGGGGACATACTAAATGGTACTTTGCATTGTGTATACTGCAGAGAAGGA